GCTGTAGCAGTAGCGAAATACAACCCAAATTTCACCGAGGCGCGTTAGTTAAAATAGGTGGACAGAACTTGAAATCATGTACCAGAAAAATTAAGTTTCTAGAACGGAACTGAGAGTAGAAGTTAACATTCACTAAAAAGGTAATCAGATTCACCTGCGTGATACAACTCTGAAGGCACGGGGTTGATCCATGGCAAGAATGGCGGTACTTGATTGTCCTCTTTTAGCTGGAATGTATTTGACCATAACGGGAAATGTCAGGAAACTACATCAGCTCATATTCTACTCTGGAATAATTGGAGCCCAGTCTTATGCATTTCCTGCTGTGTCATTTTACATTAAAGTGTTTTTTGCCCGTACAACTCATTATTTTACTCCACTGCATTTGGTTACTTACTCGGTTAGTCAATCTATCTAGCCTAAACAGATCATTTTCTTCTGAACTATGTGGATTTTTATGAGAATTTGAAATTGTTCATCCTGTAAGTAAAGCTTATGCTGATAAGTCTGGAAACAATGTACAGCTGTTTAATTCCTACTGGGATCATCAGCAGTGCGTATCTCAAGAAATTAGGATTTTGGGACCCGCGATCATTCGGTCAAGGGCTGAACGCTGAACCGTTTGGCCACGAGCGGCTGATAAGCAGTGTTGTTAGCTATCACTTAGAAAGGACAGCGCCACTCATCCTTCGATCAAAGAAGCCAGATCACATGGTCACTGGCTGGCTCCTTGAGTGACGAATGACTCGATGGAAATTAGGAAGGCAGATAATGCGCATTTTTTAAAGCTCTTGACCCTAATCCCCAAATAATCTGTTTACATTCCGTCAATGACATACCTTTTACTGAGTTGACCTATCTAAATGTATTACTAACCAGGGTAAAAAGCATAGCGAGCAGAGCTTGATCTCTGTAACTGTGAATTGGCTAACCCATCGATGACTCATTCAGAAATGCCACTTTCGATCTGGAGGCGAAGCAAAGACAGTCAGCTACAAAAGTTTTTGCCCCAAACAAAATGCGATTTTCTACTCCAAAATCTTTGCCTCGCAACGTGTAGGTCTGTCATCGTCCACGGCGTTAATAATACCATAATCGTTCAGCCGTAACACACTTCCAACGCCTGGCTGCCATGCCATCAGAAAGAACCACAAGGGGTGAGATACTGTCATGTTGCCCAAACCTAGACAGGAGCAGTCGAGATGTTGACGTTGGGTTCAAACGGACCTTCCTGTCAGTAAGTTTGTGCCTCAATTACTGAGTTGTGTAGAGCTGTTAACCGCAGTTCTTCATAATCAACATCTTTGACAGCTTCTCCAACCTACGACCATAATTAATTTGAAGGCTTTAGCATGACGAAAAGACTGAAAATGGACGGGGAAGGGACTTGGTGCTTGCCTACCACAATCATTCCGAGATGCCCAAACCTCCAGACACAAGCTCAGACAATTCGGATAGGAACAAGTTGACGTCGATTAACAGCTACTTCCTGCAGTGTCTATGACCATACACGGTGGGTCACGTGTACCCCATCCTGGAAGACGTGTCGCAGCAATAATACACTGCCTTCATGCCACCTTGTCAGGACAAAGACGTACCACCACTCCGCTTATATCAATTTAAACTGGATGCGAAAACCAGCAGTGATTTCGGCAAACGGTGATTCAACATGCACAATGCATGACCAAACCAAGCACCTTTTGGTGTTGAACACATCGTTCGATTGAAGTCCCTGTTAATGATCGAACAAGTGTTATTCGATTGTCTTGCTGCAGAAAACTGTAGATGACTTCGCAGGTCACTACTCACATATTCGTCCACGGACCACATCTGTCACACTACACAACTTCGGGAAACTCGAGTGCCTCTCATAGGGTCAGGAGTAACCTGTTCGGTGACTGTGCACCCGGAGGCATGGCCTTACACTTTCTGGGTTCAAAGAACGTGAAGAAGGAAGGGACCAATCTGGTCAGTTCATCCAGAAGCGTGCCTACCGTTTTTTCTCTTCGAGGATGATGTCATCCGCATATTCCGAATCAACAAGGCTTCTTTCAGCGCCTCTTTGTACACCATGGTTTTAACGACCTACTAGCAATTATCCCATTATTTCGTCGATCAAAAAAATGAATGGCAATATAGAGAGTGGGCACCCTTGTCGGACATCACTCCTCGTACGAAAGCTTTTGGAGAGCTAGCTGGGTACTCTAATACACCAGCAAGTCTAGAAACACAAGGAGCTTCCCGGGCATTTCTTTCTAGATAAGCGTGTTAAGGAGAACAGACCAGTCAATAGAGTCCAATGAGCCTTAATTGAGAAATATTAAATTGTTGGTCGCTTACGGGGTGGTTCCAGCAGTTAAAGAAGTGTAAAGATTTGGTTCTCAAAACACCTACGAGGCCGGAATCCCGTTTACTGTTATTCGGTCAATGCTTCACAGGGCAACATAAGGCAACACAGGACAAGCAACACCAAATCTTTACGAATGGGGTCATACTGATCCCTGTGCGGTGGCCGCACTTAACATGGACCTCTTTTCTAAAAAAAAGGCACTATTATCGATTCCGTCCAGTTGTTTGATGAAGTCGCATTTCTCCAGGTGGTGTCAAATGTTTTAAACACACACAGACTAAGGATTTCACCATCATCTTTGAATACTGCGGGTGAGAGTTCATCTGCACTGGGACGTCGGTGACAATTCGGAGAACATATGCAGTCATAAACCCCCGGGGCCATAAAAATTTCCACGGTCATTCTCCAGGGTCTTAGTGCAGGCTGACAAACCAAATGGGCGGTTGCAATTGATCCGAGAAATGCTATTCATTTTTCGGCCCAGCGGTCAGTCCCTCATTTCTTGTCAAAAATGGTCGGGTCAAGGATAGTGCCAAAGTGTCCAAACCTAGACAGGAAGATGACTAAGGTTCCCAGTCAAACCAGAATTTAGATGTGTTGGCGGTAATTGCCAGTGGGTTGCACTGGCAACTCCACTGCCAACTCCTAATCTTGGAAAAGTTGGAAAGTGTGTTTGTGAGAACCAACCTGGTATAAGGGAGTCTGCGAGTAATACACAAACGTCCGCTAATGTAGCTCAGTGGGTTAAAGAGGCGTACAAGCCGTCACACTAGAGTAGAGTCCAGTCTTGTTTATGAACGATGAAAGGATACATACGTAAAAGCACAAACACGAACCGGGGACTTCTTAGAACTTCACGGGTCCGTCATATCAAAGGAATAACAGAGGACAAGTGTGTTGCCTTGGCAGCCCACTGGTGGTTCCAATCTTTTCGAAGCTCTTCAGAAAAACATGGTCATCGAATGGCAGATCCTGGTGGGTCTTCAGCTGATACTAATTATTTTGTGAACGTATATGTTCCGCCAGTTTGTACATGTGCGAGAATTCCGTAGAAAAGTAGCAAAATTTCGCAATGGATACGGGCAAGGAAAACCTGTACTAGCTTCTAAAAATGGAAGTGGACTTCTTGGTGTACGTAAAAGACGGTGTGGTATAGCTCTTTACCTCATCAATCACACATATGACCTTTGCTGAACACTGATTTACGGAGAGGAATTCAAACCACCACATACGTGGTGGCAAAACATTCGTTTTTTTCCAAGTCACTTCGGCTAGGATAACGAATTTGTACCAGGTTATAAGTGTTGTTTTCACTTCAGAAAATTGGCAGTTGTTTGCGGGGAATATAAGGGGCCTCAATGTGCATGTGCATTTTGACAGGTTCTATCTAATGCATTTGGTAGTAGTAAGGTTTTCATACGGAGCAACATAAAGCAGAAGTGTACATCTCTACAATCTGTCAACAAGGTGCTTGAAAATCAAACCTTACAGAACTTGAAATATGATTTGCGAAATAGCAGTTTTATGCAAACCAAGAAACCAGGGATGAAATATAAAGCAAGAAAAGTTTACCAGTCAGTTTTTGGTAACAGTGGCAACGAAAAAACAGATTAAACAGCGAACATTTTAGGGCAACTAGGCTAATGGACGCAAAGGGTTACGTCATGTACTGCAACAGCTGATAGTTATTGTCACTGTTTTCGGGACAAAACAGTCGAATTACTTTACAGAAGCAGCGAATTGACCACTGAAGTTTGGGCCGTGCGTCTGATGTCTATTGACCGTATTTCAGTACTGTTTACGTCGGGTGTTAATACATACTTTTTCCCCACAAGAAACATCATGTAAAGGGGGGCCATCCTCTGCAGAATAGAAGTTGTCCTTATAGTCAATATGTAGTTGGTGTCAGATCACCATGGCAAATAAAACCAAACAACGAAGCGAAATTGACCGTTACTATGGTAACACTTATTGATTTTGCAACGCATCGGCAGACCTCCAACAACCCTACTTCAGGTGTTTGCGTGAAACATCCTATCACACAATAACGGAATTCAATACCAGATTTTATTTGCGATTTTCTATGTAAGACTCGGACGCTTCAACTGTGCATGCATCTGTTCACAACCTTCAGTGCACCTTAGTGTAAAGTTGAAAACGTCACAGAATGGCCAGGAGTTTGCAACAGCCTTTCAGATGAGTATGAGGTAAAAATACTGTTAAAACTAACCGTGGTCGCTAGATTCCCCGACACCCCCTTTGAGACAACTACAAACATGACCGTAGACCTGACGAAGACTACTAGTGTGGAACTAGTGTGGAACTACTAGTGGAACTACACTAAATTAAGGAAATGGGAAAACGTAGGAAATTCCTGGTGGTATATATACTAAGATGTGTTAAAAGAGAGGCCATTGGCTGAGCAGTGTTAATTCGCTCCTCGTGAGAAGAGTGCAGTCCAGCGTACGAACGGGCTGACAAGGTCGACGGCTAAGTTGCACCTTAGCAAATTTCAAGTGCTTCTAGCATTCACAAGACATCACCGTAGAAATTATCTAAGCAACTTTCATTATGCTGGGGAATGATTTAAATGTTCCGGAATTTTCAGTACTTATAAAAGCCATTACTTAAAAAGCCGACTAAAACTTACTTCTCAGTTCGAATCTCCTATCTATCGGGCCAACAGCTTGAGTCCAGCCTGAAGGATAAAGCAGTATAACCACAAACAGAGACAAAAGTGTCCACCATGGTCTATTGTGTATATCGGACGGATACATGGCGAATTACGGCTGCTGTCCGAGTGGTAAGTGTAGTCCACGTGGATTACCAGCCGGTTTTACCAGCACATAAGCAAGACACAAGATGATGTCAAATTACGCAATAGTGTGTCTTCACTATGATCCTCACAATGCCAGATTACGATTGACCGCTTACGAGCTCGCACTGTTCACCAAACCCACTCATCCGCCTGTTATTGTCGTGCACACGCGGTCGTTCGAGCGTGAGTGGAACGCGGAATGCACACACACACGTAGTTGAGTGTTGTGGCTGTGTACTGAAGCACGAAATCCAATCAAAACACGGCTAGGGTCTGAACCACAACGTGCACACTGAGCTACAGGTAAGCCGGCATGCAGTTCGCTTGCGAAACTGCGAATCGATACACAGAAGCTTCAGACCTAGACTGTGCACAAAACTACCAACAAACCAGTGTCGCCACAGCTGGGAGCGCCTCGCTTGCAGGCTCGAAGGTGACCGCCATGGTAGGGTTGTTCCGGTCTCGAGGCTGTGGTTGTGGTTGTGCGCGCACACCCACACATGGAAATCTCGGGACAGCAAGCGAGTGCTGTCGAGTGATTGGTCAGCTGTAGCCGTAGTGACAACTGGTGATTCAATGGGCGTTCGCCTAAAATTAGACGTATGTCTCATCGACCAGGGCTTAGGAATTGCTTACCAAATTGGTCGATCTTTGTGGGAGAGACTTGGCAACCAACACAAAGTTAAGGGGCTGAAATCATCCGGATTTGGGTGTATGCGCACATAGCGGAAGGGTCACTTTTTGCCGCCTACACAGTTTTCATAACTAAGTTGGCATATGCGATTGCATGTAATTTTGAAAAGAATCAACCGTTAGAGGTGTTATTCAGCCGAATATGCAATGCAGACGTTGCCTCACGGTTCACCGGAACCGTTAATCAGTAGCTTAGTTTTCCATCACTTAGGAGAAGTTTGATTAAAACCCACCGGAAACCACTGTTGTTGCCTCAATCAAAAACAGGAGACGGACTTGCTAGATTTATAACAGCCCTATTCTCAGGCAACAGAACGCCCATAATGATGAATTCTGAAAACCAAGATTATTCGTTGATCAGCCCAGTGGTCCAAAACTATTGATCTAACACCGATGAACGAAAGCGCTGTGATGGGTGAGCAAGCCTCAGCCGACCATAATTGAATGAACTAACCGATCGAGTACACGAATCAGTAGTAAAAAACGACTATAAGAGCATCTCCCTATGTTCACTGGAGACCACGCTTCTCGTTAACATCCGCAGGACAACCCTTCATTACAGAATTGTCCAGAGGATATAGACTCTATGAAAGTGGCTAATAGCCAATCCAATGTACACATGTGGTTCTATGGTAGGCGAGTAACAGTAGGAAAATTTCACCAGATGGCCACTGGTTCGGTGGCGTGAAATCAGTGGAGATATGTGTAGACCGTTAATCAGACCCATTCTGTCTACTTGAATTTCTTTGGCACACCGAACGGAGAAGACCGGAATTTCACGCTGTCATTCGTGATCAAGCAGATTCGTTTCGCCAGTAGACTGAGAACTGTTACCCTGAGATCTGAGCAATCACACTTTTTGTCTACGCATGGTGTTCAAAGATCCGCCATGCTTTTACATGTGGATTGGCGGCCGTTTACACTACCTGAGATGAACTACACTCAGCTGCAAACCATTTTGGTTTTGACTGAAGACTTATCTGAATCCTAGCTCAGTCTCTCTTGTTTACAAAATTCTAACTGAATGTTATGAAAAAGAAAATCTCAGCTGGGATTCAGGTGGGCCTGTCGTGAAAAGCTAGTTGGTATGCAAATGAGTGTATTTTTTCGAATTTCGTGTCATGTAGGTACAACTCGGGTTCTGCGCTTAGCTGATGATTCCTAATCGGAGGGGCGAAACCGGTCGTGGGCTGTTGAAGCTTCTTCAGCCACCTTGTGAGTAGCATGCCTGTGACGAAGTTTCCCGCCTGAATCCTGCTAATATTGTAAAATGCACCGTTTTGCGCTCTTCAGGAGCAGCACCTACGCTAAGAAATCTACTGCTGGTACGGAAAACATTGCATTCATGCTGTCGCGGTTTTCACGAGCGGTTTTTGGTGGTGCGCCCGAAAAACATTGTACAAAACATTCAAGGCACAAATGAATGTCCGATTCTACCGTCTTTTATATTCTCTCCAGAAGGTATCCCGGAGGTTAGATTATCGACATTCAAACTTTTGGAGCTGTGTTTAATGAAACGTGCTAGTTTTCCACCAGGTAAGACCCTGGCAACGACTAACATCCTCACTTAGATACTGTTGTTCATTTTGCTGTACCCATCAGTGAATCGGTTGAAGGATGATAAGAGAGAAGTGAAAAATTACCGTCCCTGAGTGTCTAAACCTTGTTGACGAAATATGAAACTTAGCCGACGTCCTTAGACCGGAGGATATAGGTGATGAGCTGGTTCATGGAATATTTCTGTGGCAAAATTGATCTGTTTTCTAACTTTTGCCACGTTTCCATCAACGATATATCAGCAGGGCAGTTAGCGGGTCGTCTTCCGATGTGCTGGGTAAACCAAGTACATTGCCTGATCGTGAACAAGTTCATCTGTCAACTGTGATCATTCAGGCTTGTTGGGCTGCTTGAAGTATTAGTGTAAACATGCTCACCCCATGGGTTACATATCCGGCATTCAAATCCCAGTCAAGGACGAACATTACACGTTGGCCTTAAAATCGAGCCTGAAAATCGAGCTTCCCTTATTTGTCGTCGACTCACTAGAATAACAATGATAGAAAAACGGAAGAATTGTTCAAACGAAAGTGGTGTGAATGCATTTATGACATAACTAATACTTGGTTAGGATTTCCCCGGCGATCCCATCAGGAACAACCAGCTGTGTCTTTACCTATTTGTAGTCAAGTGTTCGCAAACATACATCAAAGGAGGGACCATTTTACCTAATTTGTTAACAGTCGATATTAGGTCGAGCCGGAGGAAAGTGAGACGTGCGTGCATATGGCAAAAGTGAAGAAGTGTGTGTGATGGGTGGCACTGTTAAATTTCGTTGGTTTGTGTAAGTGCGTAAGTGGTAACGATACTTTGGTCAGTGGGGGAGGGGCAGTAAGATGACGTGGAATCTTTAGCCGGTTCACACTTCAGGTCTAAGCTACTTCTGTTGATGACTCTCCTTTGCTGATAACCGCGCACTACCACGTGTCCGCTCGGGTGATGTAAAAACCGACCCCCACACGCTCACCAGTTCTGCTCCTTCTATTTGCACTGGGATGCTTGGCAATTTCCACTCTGATCACCACTCCCTGTGGTGTGAGTCGTAGTCTCCGCCTCAAAACTTTGGCGTTTCCTAAATCTATTGTCTACCGTGACTGGCGCGTGTCCGGCTGTTGCTTAGTCTTTTAGTAATGCTCGATATTTGTCGACTTTTCTCAGCGGCCTGATCATTTTTCCCTTGTGTTCGCCGATTGTCTTATGAGGTTTCCTGACCATATGTTCTACATGGACCTGAGTAGAATCGTTCTATCTAATTTTTGGATCCAAAACCGACCCCTGCACGCTTGCAAGTTCTACGCCTTCTGTTCTATTTACACCAGGATGCTTGACAACTTCCACACTCTCGGCCAACAGACTCTGGCTGATTGGTTCTCCATTTGCACCTAAACTCCGCCAACCTATTCCGTAACCTACTCACTTAACCTGATGAAGCTTTTGTGTCAAAAGTGAAACGTCCATCCATAAAATTACAGACTGTTTACCAAAGCTTTCTGTGAACTTGACTTCTTAATCGGTGGGAGACCTTTTCCAAATGATAACGCCAGCATCAATTATAACCAGTCTTATGGAGAGTGAATGCTTGCTAGAAGCTCCAGCTGTAAAAACCTTCACGTATCTATCTACCATGTCACGCTAGGGAAGCACGAGGGTTTGGATAGTGTTAGGTTGCCGAAGCCTAGACAGGTGTTGGAGTCGAACCAGGAACCTTCGGATCAGTAACTTCGCGCCTTAAACACTAAAGTTTCTCAAGCTCCTATGTTCGTTTGGCGTGAAGCCTAGTGATCATGAATTCCGAATGGCGTGCAATCAATATTTCATTGAAGGGACAATATTCCGATGACAATATCATAGTCGCTCAGAAGATACCACTGAAGACAAACAAAAAAACTGCTTCCGTCCTGGGCTGCTCTAAACAAGCATGAGCATCCTAAGTGCTTTCTTAGCATCATTGAAACGGAACCGCCTGATGGCTGCTAGAAACAAACGCACCTCTCGCATGGCCAACAAGCGCCATAGAGCGATCAATCTAAAAGCGAAAAAAGCGTCTTCCAAGACTTTTGATACAAACATCTTGCCAGCTATATTAACGTGGTCTGGAAGAGGGTGAACTATCCTGCGTGAAATTACTTTACACACTTCGATGAAATGTGAAAACCAATGAAAAGTTTGGGTGCTCACTTTTCTTTACGGTAGTTGTGTACACTGGCACGGATTGTTCGGAACAATTGAGCATATCTTGGTTACCTGGATGCAGGGGATAACATAACACCATATATATATATATATATATATATATATATATATATCACTTGAGTTCTAGCTGATGGCAATGGATCTTCAGTAACCGTCGGGTGAAACATGTTTGCATACATTCTTTAATTAGAATTGGTGCTTTTGTATTAATCGGAGTTTTGGAAAAGCTCATGGCTTGTCTACGCTTGTGATAAAGGAATGTCTGTTGCCTAAAGCCGAAAGAAGAACATGTTTGAAATGTACATTTTTTTAACTGTGCTGAATATAGGACCTACAGCTGCCCACGTAGTCCCACCCAGCAAGCATTTTCTACGCTGTCATACATTTACTCAGATGGCTTACTACTTGCAGATTGCTGACTCACACTAGATGTTCCAACTACATAAAATGTCTCTGAATTCTGCATTCAGCTTGTGGTTTCATTGTGATACCCTATCGTATGCCGCATTAGATGAAATTCTTTCATCAATCCGTCTGAAACTTGATCGTAGCGTCCAACTTCAAAAGCTACAACTTAAGAATCTAACATTTATTAATACTCATTGATAACCAGGTTACTAAGAGCTGTTAGCGGTAATACTTACAACCATAATAAACAAGATATATCGTTATGTG